GGTCCGAGAAAGATTCGGCATTAGAGTCTGTCGGTGAGATTGGTCGAGAGACCTCCATGGCTTCTGTTAAGTTTCGCGCGCCTGTTTTCCCGGTCCGGAATTCCGATCGCGGTTGACCACGGGATCGGTCTATGAATTTATCAATCAGAGAAGATTAGGTGTGATGGCTACCTGCGGGCTGTGAGTTAGCTCGGTGGCAGCTCTGGCCGGTGTTAAATGCAGATTTAATAGTCCCGATAGTCCGGAACTCCTCACATATGTGACTCGCTCTGCAGGCGCCGGAACCGGAAGTCCAAAATATCAGTTTTAAAGGAGAACTATGAGCGGGGAGAGGGGAATCCAGCCCCTCCCCCTGTCATGGCAGAGAGCCGTGACAGGATCGAGAGGTGAGCGAACCCGGTATGTGTTCGCTCACCTTCCGATCTACTGAGCCGACCTGTGACAGTCTCATTGTCACAGGTCGGCTAGAACTATGAGGTGAGTGAAAAGCACTCATCTCATAGTTCTCCTTTAAGTGGCCTGACCTTTTAAGCTCAACCACTCTTTAACATCTCTTACAAGATTATGTTACTGTTTTTCAGAGGAAAATATATATATTGTTGGTTTGAATAATCATAAGATAGCAACTAACTGGGCTGAAGGTGCCCATACACCTTACAATTATCTGGAGATTTTTGTGTGCCATTGCGAATTCATCTCTGAGTTGATGGGAAGTGTACAACCTCAATCACTGTACAACTGGCAGATTTTTGTCTTTCAAGCAGGCTAGAAAACTTTTGTCTAGTTGGACGAAAATTGACATGGCGTTGTTATACAACAAAAATCTCAAGATGCAAACTGCACATGCTCCAACGAAAATCTGTCCTTTTGATCGATGAAAATTGGCCAGGTGGTGGTGCTGACGAGCGTTAATTGCAAACTACATTGGTCTGCGCACGATGGGCTAGTTGTAAGAAAATTGAATGAGGGTGAGTGTCTGCACAAAAGAAGTTGTACAATGGTTGTCTGGTGTATGGCCACCTTACATTGCAGCTTAAATTAAAGTAAGCAGGGTCTCAATAGAAAAACAATTACCTCAGATTCTATTTCTGCACTTAAAGGTCATTCACACCAGGTGAGCTGCATAGATCAGCATTGTTCAAAGCAAATTCAATGTAAGGACACAGAGAAAATAATTGTTTTATTTGTGCCCTGTTAGCGCATTCATGTACGTTGGTGTGCATTGCATAAAAAATTCAGCACATCACACAACGCGTTAGAATGCACACTGTTGTGCATAGTTACATTTTATAGAGTTAAATGAATGAATCTGAATGTGGTTCAAAAACCATACAATGAATTGCATCTCCCTACACAACACACCAACACATGCATGCTATATGAAGCATAACATGCATGGGCTAGCATGCATAGGCCCTTATAGTAAGCTTGCCAAGAAAGTTGGAGAAAAGTCAAAACAGCTGATTTTCATAATTGTTCTAGGTCAGTGATTTAAAAGATTGAATCAAGAAGGTCTACATGACAGCTTGGCAAATAACATTTTCAGAGGGAGAGATCTGATATAATAGTCTCCAGGTTTCTCTCATCACTTTTTCTTTTCAAAAGTATTCTTACACATATTCATTTGTATCACTGTTATTAACACGGAACATTGGATTGCAGTTGAAACTCTATTAGATATTTTTAGGGAAGACACATTATTATTTTTTGTATTGCATTGCATTTGCTTATTTGTATTTGTGTATATTAAATGTATTTAATATTTATTGTTCTGGACCAAAAATAAAATTGGATTTTTCTACTCACCGTAAAATCCCTTTCTTGGAAGTTCATTGAGGGACAATTGGGTTATGTTACTCTCTACAGGAGGTCTTGGACACTGGCTAACAAGAAAACAGTGACCAGCCTGGTATAACTCCTCCAACTCCCAGTATGCCTCAGTTTGGTAACAAGCAGTGCTGAGAGCAAGACAAGAAGCACAGAGGGGTGGGAAAAGGGATTTTTTGGTGAGTGCAAAAAACAATTTTCTTTCTGGTTTATTGAGGGAAACAGAATTCAGAGACAATTGGGACATCCAAAAACAGTCCAGCTAAGAGTTGGGCAGTGCAGCAAACAAAATGCTAACAGACCCAACTTTAATAACAAAGAAAAACAACCGGGGACTGCCTGCAGCAACAATAGCTGTCTAAAAGACCATAAAGTTACACTAAACTTAGTTAAATCTTAAAAATACATTCAAGTACCTTAACTATTAAAAAATTTCTCTTATTTGTGTATCACATGGCTGTAGATGCTGACACAGTTCTTCCTTCTGGAGGGTGGAAACTTTTGTTCCACATGGTCCCTGTGTGTGTTATAAAGTAGCCACAGTTCCAAGCACGCTCCCCTAATGGACTACAATCTCACATTTAGTTTACTAGTTTGTATTGAGGTTGTAGTCCATCATGGGAGTGAGCTTGGAGCGGTGTCTACAGCCTCGAGCGCAGGCTGGGAGGGGGCGCAGCCATGGCTGGACCTGGACCTTGTGGCCAGCAGGGGTAGGAGGTGAGCGCACTGGCAAGCCTTGGCATTCCGCCATTTGGGGGTCCCAGAGAATAATCGGAGTGCCTGCAGCTCCCTCAAGCCACCTGCGGCAGTGTTCTTGAAAGTAGAGGAGCGGGAGAGCTGCCTCCGGCCAGATAACTGCATTTCACAGCAGGCAGTGGCGCAGTGTGACAAGGGAGGTGTGGCCGGGTCCTGAGAGAGGTGAGGTGACTGAGGGGACTCCCAACTGGAGGTCCAGGCAATGGAGAGAGGTGGCTCCCTGGTGGGAATTGGTAAAGAGAACTGTGGACAGAGTCGGAGAGCTGCAGTCTGCAGCTAGTGACACTGTCACTGTGACAGTATATTACTCCCCTTTTCCATCACTTCTTCTGTACTGTATCTGTATCTGTGTGTGACACCTGTGTGCCTCCATATTATATAATAACATTTATAGTAAAAACAAAGTATATGTGGGGATGTTCAATGGGGACAAGTATGGAGTACTGTCCCCATTGAACATCCCCCCACATACTTTTTTTTGTACTATAATTTAAATAACAGAGATAAAAGTGTTTTATTAAAAACATCTCTAGTTGATGATGTTCCTGACCCCCCACTGATATTCCTCCCCCATGCAAACTACCCCACCTACACCCTTATACTACGCCCCATATCAAAGAAATAAAGCAAATTTCAAAACGGTTTAATTGAACTTTACACTGGATCTTATCCAATAACTTAATTACCAACCTTTTTTTATATAAATATCCTTTATCTTCCCATTTGGTAACCTATCATCTTCAACCTTCATATGCTCCACCCTTCTGTCTCTACAAATCCCAACATTCACACTATAAAAGGACCACATGGTCAGCTTTTGGAAGCAGACTGAAGAGGAACTTGGTGTGGATTAGATATTTTACTTTTTGATCTGAGGGGGTTTGCCCACCATTCCCACTGTGTGGGAATTTTCTGAATAAGCTTGTTGTAACTTAAAAAGTAACTCCACAACAGGCAAAAATGTATCGGCAGTTGGTATATAAAATTTGTGCAGACAGAATTTCCAGAGCTGTTTTACTAAGTATCATCACTTGTAGAGTGTAACACTGGCCTCTTCTGAGTCTGCTTTAGGATAGAGTATTATGTCAATGGAAACTCCTCTTTCAGTAGAAAGTCATTAAGAGATATAATATAGGATGCAGAGATTTATACTTGAATCATTAAGCTTCTCCACACATTATTTTAGTCAGTAATGTGGGTTAAAAAAAGCCATGCTTACTTTCCCAGCTCAAATTCTCTCAATCTGTCACTGAAAACAAACCACAAAACTGTTAACCGCTACCTCTGTGAGCTAGTGGCGTGAGCTCCTGATTTACTTTAGAATACTTTAATACCAGAGCAGAATTAAAAGGCAGGGTAAGCCAGCTTCACTCTATGTGCTGAGTTGAAGATAGCAATGATAATGCTAAGCTATGTCAATAATGGACTAGGTAACCACGTTATGTAGAATTTGAAATTCAGATGATATGAGCTTGTATGTGCTGATTTTTGTATGCTAAATGAGTCTATTAGCTAACCCTACCTGTGTGTCTACATCACTGATGTCATAACTTAACGGATAATGGCAATGCAACCAAAAATCATATCTAGTGTGCATAATAAAGGCAGCTACATCCTGGCTGTACATACATAGATACCAGGGAATAAACTAACTTCATCAGTCTTAATCTTTGTACCAGGTCAAGAACACTGAAATAGTGCCCTTGAATAGCTAAGGAAACCCAGATTATAAATAAAACAGATAAAATATATGCTCTATTCTTTAATATCATTGTTATTCAGAAATTGCTCATAGATGCCCATCTGTTTCTTGGAGTAAATTGGTCCCTAAAACGCCATCATCTTTCCTCTCTGGAAAACTGTACAATGTGAACCGAATGTGGTAGTAAGAGGAAAAACAGCGTAAAAGCAACAATTTGTGACAAGAGTCCACATTCTGACACTGGCATGTATGTGTGTTCCTTTATAAATGTCAACACTGGCTTTTGTAATGGAAACAGCAAGTATGTTGGATATGGTGTAACTGTATTCAATAATATGTTGGGTTTCGTTCTTACCTGGGACCACAGCAGTAAAATAATCCTGTTAACTAAGCTACCACTATTGTAAGACTATGTTCTCCATATGTTCCTATGGAAAATAATAAAGCATGTCCGCATTCTGTTGATTCTCCTGCATATATGTAGATTGTACAACATAAGCAGATCCGCAGCCTTGACTGAGCCACGCTGCGGATAAATTTGCCAGACAATAGTAAAAGTCTTGTACTGGAGTCAACACAGTCCTGTTCCATCTGGGACAGAGAAATCCAAAGCTGATACCCTCCACCAAAACCAGAGAAATATGTTCTGGGTGTAGTTATTTTTTACAATCAATATCCTGAATATAAATGAAGCCATATTTGCAAGCACCCATACCTATCAGAGCCTGGTTCCATGGGTGTTAAAGGAGGTAGCTGGGATGATGGGTTATGAGGGCTGGACTGCAAGTTACTCCCAGGAGAAGGGTGGCTGGAAACAAGAGGCATAGATTGAGGCACATTCCCACAAGCAGTTCCACTTCTACTTGGATGAGAACTGTTGAACAGGGCAGCTACAAAAGAGAAAAAATACATAAAAAATAGATTATTTCTTTGCTCAGTATTACACAGTTAAACAAAATTTAGGCAGTCAGTGAAGGCAAATAAATTTGAAAGGAACCAGACAGATATAGCTTATTTGCTTCGTGTAATATCTGCCACGGAGGGATTAATGGCTGATCATTGGGTGATACTACAGGATTATATTTGTGTTTCTACCATCTGTTACTAACACTGTGTTTGCTTAAAGGAGAACTATGAGGTGAATGCTTTTCACTCACCTCATAGTTCTAGCCGACCTGTGACAATGAGACTGTCACAGGTCAGCTCAGTATATCGGGAAGTGAGCGAACACATACCGGTTCGCTCACTTCTCGATCCTGTCACGGCTCTCTGCCGTGACAGGGGAGGGGCTGGATTCCCCCCTCCTCGTTCCGATCCACCAGCGCTGACTGGCGGAACGGACGGGGGAGGGGGCGGGTACAGCTGGCTATGCCTCTAGATAGGCAGAGCCAGCTGTCACTCACGCAGCTGGGTGGATCTCGACATCGATGTCGGGATCCGCTCCGGCTGCGGCGTCTCAGTATACCGCGAGCTGTGGCCTGCGGTATACTGAGCTTAGGGTGATGGGAGGACGCTAGTTTGTGTCCTCCCGTTACCCTAAGGAGAACTATGGGGGAAAAGCCCTGACCCCATAGTTCTCCTTTAAATGTACAGACATATTTAGAAAGGCAACCTTGGAAGTGCAAAGTGTAGTAATTCACAATAACCAATCAAACATCAACTTTTACTACTGAGAAAACTCTAAATAGCTATTAATAGAAAAAGTGATTACCAATCTTACTTGGGCCTACAAATACAGAGTAATGGAACTAAAATATTTACCTTTCATGAAAAAAAGTTTTCAAATCACGTCTGTGACAATCATGTAATTCCACTGAAGCATCACAGTTCAGTCTTGTTAACATAAGTTAATATACTATGTTTATGAACACATATGTGAGTATGTACAGTTATAGAAATTGCTATTATTTCTACTACTCTTTTTCACTGTTTTTATACACTTCTAAATGTTATGGCTGTCAAAATAATGTATTTTATTATCAGACTCTATAGGTCCCATTAACATGCAAACTAGTAGTATGGCTTGCTTTATTTAGTATATGAGCCCACCCTGGTGCTAGCAGCTAAAGTAAAAGAGATATGGGGTCTGATGTATAAATATGTTTGTACTAAGAATCAGAGTTACTCCCCCCATCAACCAATACAATTTAAAGAAACTGCCACTTTAAGAATGCTGAAACCTGCTGAGAGGTGTAAAGTTCTCCTATGCCCTTCACACACACACATTCCTACTGGCCCATTACTATGATTCTTAAGCTTTACCCAAATATGTCCCAGCATCCAGAAAAATCTAAATATACTGAAAGATGCTGCAGGTATGTGCAGGTGCCCCTGGGTGCTTCTGCTTTATACCTGTCATCAGCTTTTAGTGCACTTGATGACATGAGCTTTCATAGTTGCATATCCCTTTATGGGCAATTTTTACATTTCCACTATGGGCCTATTTATTCAGCAACAATTTTGTCATTGTTAAGGTAACAGTAATACATACATTGATTTGTCCCATTTTAGATGATACTAAATAGCAAAGTTATTTGCAGGTTAAATGTTGTGTATTTTTTATGGCACACTGAAAAAACAAAAACAAAATACAAAACAAAATGACTGAAAAAAAATGTTGTTGGTAAAATAAAACAATCCATAAAATAAATCAGCAGAAAAACCATAGCTAAAGAGAGAAGGGAATAAAGGAGTTAGTCGGGACTGATTAGGGTTACCTGAGGGTCAATAAAGGGTTAAATAAGAATACATTTTATTTAACAGTTTTGTTCTACTATGGATAAAATCGTGAGTCAATGACACAATATATTGTTATATTGTAATGTATTTACTCAATGGCCGTTACAAGTGGAGCATTATGACAGCTGCTCCTGCTGTGTAATACAAAGCAATTCCTGGCTGTCATCATGACAGCCAGTGATTTCTGGTAATAGCGTCAAGGGGAGTTACAGCAGGGGGAGAGGAGCTGGACATTAAAGATGCATCCTGAAATTCTTTAGCATGTATCTCTTATGCTCAAAATCCTCAAGTGACTAAAATATTCTAAATAGTCTCTTGAAATCTGACCTAAAAATGCGAATCTGCACTGTAGCTGTGAATATATGACTCCAAGTACTGGCATTAACAGAGGCATAGCAGACTGGGACTTATCTTCCTTAACCAGTTGACATCCGCGGTGTTAAACCCCCTTCCCATCCAGGCCATTTTTCATTATTCAGCGCTGCGGTACTTTGACTGACATTTATTCCGTCATGCAGCGCTGTACTGAAATTAATTTTATATGATCTAAGTTTTAGTAGTTTCAAACCATCTCCTACAGCATTGTATTACATAAACTGAAAAAGGTAGCCTTAATTTATTTATCATTTATTACAGGTATTTATATAGCGCCGATAATTTATGCGACAATTTACATAGTTACACATTCACGTTAGTCTCTGCTCTCAAGGAGCTTACAATCTAAGGTCCCTATCTCACATGCATACATACAGGGACAATTTAGACAGAAGCCAATTAACTTTTCAGCATGTCTTTGGAGAGCGGGAGGAAACCGGAGCACCCGGAGGAAACCCACCCAAGCAGGAGAACTTACACAACCAAAATTATACTGTGTCATGCAAAGGAATGCCAAAAGAGATACTCCATTACAAACTCTAAATCTCAAGACTTGCTATTAAACCCAGTGATGCAATGGGCTTTATCTATAAAAAACGTTCATAAGAATAATGTTTCTACATTGTTCGGTGTAAAAGTAGAACTTGGTAAAAATGGAATGTGTGCTTACTAGTGCTGAAGAATAGTGATGTCTCAATTCTACATAGTAGAAGTCCTTAGAGTGTTAATCATCTAGACATCTAAGTATATTAACAGCAACTTATTTTTCCATGGGGTAATAGAAATTGCAATTTCAAGAACTATCTGAGACTGGTTTTCTTCATTCTTTCTCTAGGGAGATAAACTTTAACATCTGGCTTTCCAGCTTATTCATCCTTCTAGATGTGGCTCAGTGTGATTTCTTGGCAATGAAGTGATCATTCTCCAATGGAAGACATCGGTGATTTGGGGAATAACACTCAGAATGCCCCAGCCTATTTGTGTGTCATAGGTAGTAGTGCATACCTAAATAACAAAGCTGCTCCGTTTCCAGGAATTCCCAGCCAAACATTTATATTTATAGACTTTACTGATGTTTATGTAAGCTGGTATGCTGTTTTATACATTTAGCAGTGAAAAAAATCAGTCTCATAATATGGTCAACCGAATTGCTGTATCTATAAAAGTATGATGGTAATTTATGATAAAAAGTCATCCAGAACATACTGTAGATACAATTATTACCTAATACACAAATAATACAAATTGTACTTTACAATTTGACTGTACAATCTTCTTTAGATTTACCAACAATTATGTAGCACAATCGGTGTCTGGTAGGATAACAAAAGAACAGATTGTTAAGGTACCCACTCACTGTACATTGTTTTAGCAGACCTACAGTAGAATAACCAGATATTTTACAAATTGTAACATGTAGGGTCAGGCTGTACATTTCTCCTGCATGTTATTGGGCAGGAAGCTTCAAGGCAGAACTGCACTTTAATTTTTCTTGAATTTCATAGACCTTTCCAAATTAAAAAAAAAAATTATGGCAGTACTCACTTCCTCGCTTCCTGCTTTCCTCCATAGACTCAGTGCTCCTGTGTCTTGCTACTGGTCCTATTCCAGGTTAAATGACACCGAGCATAATTTACCTCACTTCCTAAGAAGCCCAGCCTGTTATGGGCACACCCTCTGGCACTGATATCATAATTGTCAACAACGCTCTCTACAGTATTGATTACTGCACACTGAAGAGGTGACAAGGACCTTGTGTGTTACATGACTATTCAGCAGAACCCAAAAAAAGGTATGTATGCACATTCCTCCAGGACAGGTGTGGGGATGTGTGTGGTGGGGGATTGGAAACTGGAGATGGGCTTTAAGCAGAGCAGCATCTCTCTTGCTTTCAAATGATGAAAAGATGCCTTGTTGCACTCCTTACCAGATACCTTCCCATGCAAGATGCAGATGGGGGGCTCGTAGTGACCACGGATGGCGCCATGAGATAAGATACAAATTTCAAGAAATGTCACCAGCACAACAATATGTCTTGTACAATCAGCAAATGTCCATTTATTGACAGATATTGCCACTCCAGTGCAAGCTTTTTCAGGGCCACCCAGGGATTCCATCAGGCTCAGAATGGTCAGAATGGATGCAGGGCCCCCTTAATCAGGCTCAGAATGGTCAGAATGGACCCTGAGTGGCCCGAAAAGTGCTTGCATTTGAGTGGCAATATCTGTCAATAAATGGACGTTTGCTGATTGCACAAGACATATTGATGTGCTGGGGACATTTCTTGAAGGTTGACCATCAGACATGCACCTTTTTTCTCAACACAATCCCAGTAGTGCAGTACCATTCACTAAGGTACATTATTTTAGTAGATTGTGGTGCCTGCAAAATGAGAGACACTGCAATGCTCTAATGAATGCATGGCACGTTATGTTGACACCATGGCTGTCACTAGCGTGCCACTGGTGCCCGACACTAGTGACGCCCCTGGTGTGAACACATTGCACCCACAGCTTTTGACTGGAGTTGGCTTTCATTTCATAATTCCAGTTAGGAATTATTTAGTAATGTTAGTGCATAGCGAGATTAGCTGCTGGGATATTCTCAAAAGATATACCAGGTTTTGTTTCACATTAAGGATCAATTGTAATTTCTACCCTAGCTTTCAGCCTATATGGTTACATTTACACTAGCAATGCTGTCTTTAGGTTCTCTAAATGCATGAGAAATTATGCGGGAAGTATCACAGATCACTTTTTCCTGCATTTAGACGTAC